CCCCCCCCCCCCAACGTTTGCGTCATGGACAAACCTTTTTCGCTGGTATTTTAGTCTTTTGAAGTAATACCTTATAAGATGCAGAATTGCAAGAACTTTCAGAAAATATATAAATCATTTTAGGATGGTATGTTCTAACGTTGCTAGAGTCAAAATACTAGAAAATCTTGATTTGAGCTAATGGTCATTTTTGCTCGTATATTGGAATTATCACTTGATAAATGATATTGTAGAACATAATGAGTTACCAAATTTTATAGTAAAAATATTTCTGCATCTTTTGAGACGTTCTCGAGCTTGAAAGAATCAGCAGATGCAGAGAAAAGTACAAAATACTAAGAGTACCCTAAAAAACTGACTTTTTGATCACGTATCGAAGGATATGTCACTTGTATACTATGCCATTTTTCACAGGGAAATGAGAAATAGCTAATATTTTGGATTTAACTATGGTTTGAGTAGACCTTTCATTTGAGATACCTAAATCGAAAGTAAAAATTTTATCGGCGACCAGCTTCTGATAAAACTGATAAGTGGTCTCGTCGACTCTCTCTTAAGAACTTCTATAATTATCAGAGTAAAAAAATTAAATAGTCTATAGGTTTTGATATTTAAGAAAATGATGCTGTACATAAACTATTGTCTTAGCCTTTCTTATTCTTACTTGTGATGATAATTGATGGTGTCTAATGGTTCCAGCAAGATTGGCAGTATGAATGGCAGCTTGTGACCATGAAGATGAACTTGGGGCAATGAACGATTGATCTAGTTCATTACGATGAGGAGGATCGTTTAGAATAGACGAGGACTGTTTAGAAAAAAGTAAAAAAAAACAATGTAAAATAGCAAATCTCTTTTCAATCAAACCAAGAGCAAATTGTTCTTTGGATCAATTGACTTGTTGCCATCAGAGACGGTAATTTTTGGTGATCGGATAGTTCTATGAATGACATCAGTAGATCTTGGTTTAGTAGATTTTGCATTCCTTTTGAGAGAAGCATTGCGATAGCGCCGTAGACGTATTACGGGTGCTGAAGTATGTGAAACATTGTTTTTGATTGTAGGTTGCATCGAGCGTAGGATTTCTTCGTTATATTGAATTATGTCTACACAATCTGTTTAATGTTTCATATGTAATGAGAGAAAATTGTCTTCATACTATTTATATCAGCGATGCGAAACGATGCCGTTGGATTACTTACACAAAAAAAAGTCAGTACCTACAACGAAGCAGAAAGTACATATTGCAGGCGCACTCTGAGCACGTACACGAAGCCAGCATAATGACAATGCATCAACTCTTATTCGAGTTCTTTTTTTTTGTTTCTTAAAAAATTGAGCTGCATATACACCTATATAATTGAATCAACAATAAGCTGCATGCAATGATCAAATCGAAAAAAATATAAAGAACAGATATTGTTTATAATTCACCGTCTTGTTGCTCTTAACTGGAGGTTTGGGTGTGCGTGTGCGTGTGCGTGTTTTTAGTATTAGAAATGACGCTTACATTCACATGTACACGCACACACACACTCACACTCTGCTTCGTCTCGTAATAAAATGCTTAACTCTAAGCGCCTCAAAAAAATTCTATTTTCTAAAATTCCGTAATGATTGATATCTTTTCGAATTATTGGAAAGCTATACATTAGTGGAATCAGTTTTTCCTCGATTTATTCCGTCGTTTTCATGTTGAATAATATCATCTGAAAAGTACAATCAACTCCAGTTACTCGTTTGAACAAAATTTACATAGATAAATGAGTCAAATGGATTTCTAATTGGAAGATGATGTTTGTTATGATGCCATTATTGATAAAACCTTGATCTCAAATACGATTTACTTTGTTGTTATGAAGATGATGAATCATCAGCAATGTTTATATACAATGTCTTTCTTGGCTTCTGTTTTTGACGTAGTGTATGAGTGGATGTATATGTCGGTGGAAGGTTTGGTGAGGAGGTAAACAATACTCACGTATCCACACTCACAGCTCCACATCCTTTTGTGATAGAGTGGACTTCAGAACTTTTCCCATCAGAACGACTTTAACAAACAAATCGAAAATAGACTGATACATCTCTTGAAGAAAAGACAAATGCGATCTGTTAGTCTCACCCATTGTTTTTCGGCAGTCGATAGTGCCGAAAATTAAATGACAATAGAACGATAAATTAGTGTGCTTTGATTAGAAGAATCACACAAATAAAGAGTTCAGTTCGCCGATTCGTTACGCATTATGTATTAAAATAAACACTCATTAGGGATCTGCATTACATTTTTTAAACAGAAAGAAGAAACAATTTTAAATGTCAACAAAAATTAAGAACAAAATAAAAAACACAAGATGAATTGTGGATGTTTGAGTGCTAGCAAACAGGAAACCCTCATCTTCACCGACACTCACATCCTCAAATGTGTTTCGCACATGTGAGAGTCACTGCCAATTCGTTCGTTTTGGTCCATGAAGTAAAAAGAATATGTTAACATCTTTCATCGATGATTATGTTCGACGTTTGTTCAACATCGAAATCATTGGTTCCATTTGACGAGCCAATGTTTTCAAGGATAAGAACTGGTCTAATGGCATTCACATGTTTTTCATCAGCCACTCGACGTTGCTCATCAATACTCAAATTGATTCATGTTTCAATAAATTCAGCTGACACACTAGATACTATACAAAATATCCATATTCCACTTACTATGAAAGGTTTCCGCAATTTATCATAAAATGTCGGATTAATAAAGTCAACAATTACAAAAAGGACAAAAGATATTACCTTAAGAGTTTTAGTAAATCCATTCATTGTTGTTTGATATCGTAGCAGAATCCATGAATTTCTTCTTAGATACATTTTCTTTAATCCTTTACCTCCCATAGCGGTTCCATAAGAATCACCGATAAAATAACTATATGACTAGAGTACTACCATGTCTAGTATGACAATTATACAATCTGATTCACCGAATGTCTACCTCTTTGTGTAGGGTCATTTAATTGGTAGATTAATCGTGTGATGGAGTGAGGAGATGAAACGACATATTAAGTGTTGATTTGTTTTTCGTTTACCACATTATTGAGTGAGCAAAAGTAACATCTATCCTATCTTATTGGAATAATGGAAAACGGAGGGAATAAATCGATAAAAATTAATGTCAAAAGAATACATATATTTTTAGCACATTTTCTTAAATAGGCATCCACCTTGCTTTGAGCTGTTTAATAACTTCTGAAGACATTTATTTCAAAATAAATACTATTCTAACTCCTTATAAACTGATATTTATAATACATATACAGTGGCGGCCAAAATTATAAGACCACTTTATTTTTCATTTTTTTCGATGAAGCCGAGTAGGCAGATCAAATTTGAATAGTGGTTTGGATAGCTCTTGAAATTCTCTATCAAATGCAGTATGTGTCAAACTTTTAGAGAAACGTTATCGAAGAAAGTTTTCTAGAAAACCCTCTCCAGCGGAGCTCTAAGCCCTAGAGAATTTTGCTAAAAATATTTTCAATATAGCCATTTGAAAGCGCATAAAATTCTGAACAAAATGAGGGGTCGCTGCGTTTTCTACGACCTTCTGTTTCAGACTTACGTGCATCACAAAAAACGAAAAAATTGGAAATTTATCGAAAAATCGCTAGAAATCGACCAAAAAGGAATTTTTTTTCGTTTTTGTGATGCATGTAAGTCTGAAACAGAAGGTCGTAGAAAACGCAGCGACCCCTCATTTTGTTCAGAATTTTATGCGCTTTCAAATGGCTATATTGAAAATATTTTTAGCAAAATATTCTAGGACTTAGAGCTCCGCTGGAGAGGGTTTTCTAGAAAACTTTCTTCGATAACGTTTCTCTAAAAGTTTGACACATACTGTATTTGATAGAGAATTTCAAGAGCTATCCAAACCACTGTTCAAATTTGATCTGGCTACTCGGCTTCATCGAAAAAAATGAAAAATAAAGTGGCCTTATAATTTTGGCCACCACTGTATATATCTGTTTGTGTCTATTTCAGTCACTGAATAAAATGAATGGATGACCTGACGAGAAAAAATATATAGTGCCGATGAATGGTCGAAAAAAGTCATTGATAAATATTTTTTTCTCTTTCTTCATATTTTCAGTAGAGTAGATTAGAACTATTCTGAACGTCTTTTCGAAAATTGCAATTAAAAGTCTTATAACTTTTTCATTTTTTGTTATTTTTCAGAAAAAAAACCTACTGATAGATAGCCTGAAGTGTTCTCTACACATCTATCTAAAAATTTTTGAAAAATACCTTTCCGAATTCGTTCAGCACCTATTTTGCTAGAAGCTCCGTCGTTTGTTCATAATAGCCCTGCTTGGAGCTATTATGAACATATACTAAATAGTATGGGGCTATTATGAACACTCAGCTAAAATAGCTGGAAAAAAATGATCTTCATTCCAAATCACTTAACTCATCATTTGAAAAAGATTAATCAATAATTTTTACACAATTAGAAAGAGCACCTTCGATAGTACAGTCGGTAAGATTAACTCGTCAAAATTCTTCATTTTTGAAGTAATATTGATGAAAATAGTAAAATGTAAAAAAATCATTTTTGTTCATAATAGTCCCATATGGGACTATTATGAACACCAGTTTAGATATAGTGGGGTAATTCTGAATCCATCACTTGTCTTAAAATAAATATAAATAGATTGTTTATTTTATATCAATTTTACGAATTTTGAATTTTATTTTGAATGATAAATTCGTAAATTTAAATAAATCGGAATTTTATGAGAGAATGAAGAAACTACAAGTTTTGAAAAATTCAATTTGAATTATGTAATCTTTTCTTCAAAGCAATTTTTATAAATAAAATTTTTACATTTAGTCATTTTCTAATTAATTCATTCAAATTCAAAATATGATTAAAACTGATTTAAATAGTTTTCATTTTTTGAATTATATTCATGTTCTCAAATGAGAAGATACACTTCCGGTTGGTAGCCTTTGAAAGCTATGGGATAACTCTTATGGGAAGAACTGGATCTCTCGCACAACTGCCGGACGCTTGAGAATACCATACGGAGCTTCGAAGAAAAACTACAAATCAAGGACATAAAATGATCAGGGTTCGGAGTACGATGATAATCCCAGGAGTACGGTGATAATTCCGGAAATCCCATAATAATCCCAAAAATCCCAGAGTACGAAATCCACCGTTTCCCCCTTCATAGAAATCTATAAAGTCATACTTATATTTTTTACATCTGTTTGTTATCTTTTTTTTGTCTAAAATGAATAGTTGTTTGTATTCCCAGAGAGATTTAACATTTTCTATGATGAATATCAATGATTACGTCGTCAATATTTATCAGACAAAGATATTTCCCTTTAAATTATTCTTTACCTTTTCCTTTTTGTTCTTTTTGTTAATAAAAGAATATATCCAAACATTTGATTTATTTTAGTATAATAAATAACAATAAATATTCTCATGAATCGTCATTAAATTCATTTATTGATCGTCAGTTATGACAACAATCATCATCTGTATTAAATAATGAAATTTTAATAAAAGTAAGGTTGAGACATTTTTTTTTTTGTTCGATAACTAATCAAATGAGAAAAAAGATCACCTGCTGACTTTTTTTATTGTTTTCACGCATTGGAATAGTTAATATGATAACCTTGTTATTACTCTTGAGACCGAAAAATGATAGTCTAAACAATGAATTGATCGATTTTTTTATGTAAATAAATTCTATGTGGATTTTAGAATATAATTTTTCATCGAAATCATCCAAATGAAAGATTATGTTTAACTCTTTGTTATGGTATAACATCAAAATCAACTAATAATATTTATATTCAACAAGTAAAGAAAAAACGAATCATTTTTCATACATATATTCTCATATAATAATGAATAGGTTGATAAAGAGAGTATAGCAGGTCATCAGGGTGAACTTCGAAGTGGTGATCAAATTATTAAAATAAACAATCATCGTGTTACAAGTCGAGACGAAGCAATTAATCTTGTAAATGGTGCTTGTCATATTCTTTTACAAATTGTACATTTTCAAGTTAATTGTCTTCCAATAATTCAATCAATACCATTAACTGAAGATGATAATGGTGTTGTTCTTGCTTGTAATACAGATATTGAAACAACAAATCAAGTATGAAAATTTTTTTTTTTTTCAAAAAAAAATTCTTTTGTTGGTCTATATTTAGAAATCTTCAAATGAATGTAATAATTTAATAAAAAGTTGTATTAGTTTATCATCATCTACATTAAATAATAATTGTTTATATTGTCGTCGTATACAATCTTATACAGATCAATTTCAATATCGTCGTTGTTTATCATTAAATGATTTAAGATCATGTATAAAACATGAAGAAAAACAAATTCAATATAAAAAACCTTTAATTTGTTCTCAAAGTCTTTTGGGAATAACAACAGATAATGAACAAATTATACTTAAACCATTACCATTTAATAATCAATCACAACAAAATTTAATTGTTAAACGTCGAAATGATAGTGATAGTAGTCAATCAAAATCAAATGATTCATATCATTCTCATTACAATAATAATTATAATCAATGGACATTAAAACATTTTCGACGTCGTTGTCGTGAACAACGTTTAAAAGAACAATATCAAACAACAGATGATAAACCAATGAGTGAATTAAAACAAGGTAAATATTGGACACGACAACAACGTAAAGAACATTTAGCTAAAACAAAACAATATCGACAACGTGCAACATTTTTTCAGCAACGTTCAATAATACCTTATTCAGATTCAGCAACAGAAGATTTTAATTTATTAAATCATATATTTATTCAAGAAAATCAACAAGAATTAAATGAAAAACTATATTTAGCTTATAAATATGGACAACAATCATCAATTGAAAGAAATCGATTAAAACGAATGATTCAACAACATTATTTTAATAGAATTAAATCTCAATCAACTAGAAACTATATCAATTTCTAGTACAATTAATCAACCTCCATTGGTTATTCTTTGAGTTTTTTTTTCTTCTTCTTTTTGTATTAAGTGAATTAAGAGAATTATTTATTTCATTGTATGTAAAGTTATCATATGATCAAAGTCATCTTTAAATATTTTAGAATTATATAAGAAAAAAATGAATAAATTGTTTGTCGACTTTTGATAGGTTGAAATAATAAAGATTGTAGAGAAAGCAGAAATAATTCAATTTAAGAAAATGAAAACAAACTTTCATGTCTAGTCTAATAAAAGTTAGCAATTTATATCATTTGCATAAAACTACGCCATCTATTGGAAATATCAATATTAAAAAAAACAAACGAAGGCAAATGCTAAACGACGAAGTAGATTGGTTGTTTCCAATCATCCATCCAGCACATGTCTTTGAGTGAATCATTACGATCCTTACACGAGATATTGTACGAAAGAAAGAACCACTTAATATTGTTTTTTGTGGTCATGTTGATGCTGGAAAATCGACAATCGGTGGACAACTCATGTAAAATTCATATTCAAAAACAAATAATTTCATTCGAAAATTTTTCTTTTTTTTTCTAAGGTGTTTAACACGTCAAGTTGATAAACGAACATTAGAAAAATATCAAAATGAAGCTCGTGAAAAATCTCGAGAATCTTGGTATTTATCATGGGCATTAGATACAAATGAAGAAGAAAGAGAAAAAAGGAAAACTATTGAAGGTGGTCGAGCTTGGTTTGAAACAGAAAAAAAACATTTTATTATTCTTGATGCACCTGGTCATAAATGTTTTGTTCCAAATATGATTGGTGGTGCAGCACAAGCTGATATTGCTATTCTTGTAATTAATTCATTATTTATTACGATTTTTTTGTTATAATTTTATATTTTATAGGTGATTTCAACTCGAAAAGGTGAATTTGAAACAGGTTTTGGACGTGGTGAACAAACTTGAGAACATGCTATGTTAGTTAAAACAGCCGATGTTCGTTATGTAGTTGTTCTTATTAATCACATGGATGATCCAACTGTTAATTGGGATCAAGCAATATATGAAGAAATTAAAGATAAGCTTTCATCTGATTTTAAAAATTGTGGATTTAAACCTGGTGAAGATACAGTATTTATACCTTGTAGTGGAATGAGTGGAGCTTTTCTTAAAGAACATCCTGGAGAACAATTTGTACCTTGGTATAAGTAAGTTATTAGAGAAATAATAATCGAAAGACAATATTCTTTTTTATTATTATTTAAGAGGACCAACATTTATTGAATATTTAGACAGCTTACCATCATTTAATCGAAGAAGTGTTGATGGTCCTCTTCGAATACCAATTGTTCATAGTTATATAGTATAGATTATTTAAAAGTATAGAATTAATGAAGATATTTAATTTATATAGAAAATGGGTGTAATTGTAATGAGAAAAATCGAATCTGGATGTTGTCGAGTAGGTGATAAATGTATAATAATGCCAAATCGAACTCAAGTTGAAGTAACAAATATTTATTATGATGAAGATATTGAAAGAGATTCATGTGTTTGTGAAGAAAATGTTCGATTAAAATTGAAGAATGTTGAAGAAGAAGTTAGTATGATTGAGATGTTATTTATTAATTATTAATAAGTTTGAATTAATAGAAAATCTCACCTGGATTCATGATTTGTGATGCTGAACAAGAACCATGTGGTGTTGGAAGAGTATTTGATGCACAAGTAAATTAATAAAGAAACTATGAAACTATATTTATCGTCTTTACAGTATAGATAATGTTAACTAATTATTATCCTATCATCTGTTCTGGTTTTTGTGCTCTTCTTTATATTAATGAAGCTATTTTTGACGTTCAATTGCAAAAACTAATTTTAATACGTGATCAATATACAAATAAAATAATTCAAGAACGTCCACGTTATATTAAACAAGATCAGGTTGCAATTGCAAGATTTGAATTAACTCAATCAGGTCAAACTAGGGGTGTCAGCTTCGGGTTCCGTTCCTAGGAACGGGAACCCGCAGCGGGTTCCGGATTCCTAGAAACGGGAACCCACTTGGTTATTCATTTCTGTGCATTTTTGAACATACTGGAGTGCTTATACATACTTTTTATTTCGTTTTGAGACGAGTCACTCCGCGTTCCCGGGTTCCTGGGAACGGGAACTCGTACCGGGTTCCTAGGAATGGGAACCCGGTTAAAAATTCATTTCTGTGCATTTTTGAGCACACTAGAGTTCATAGACATACTTTTTCTTTCGTTTTGAGACAAGTCTCTCTGGGTTCCCGGGTTCCCAGGAACGAGAACCCACACCGGGTTCCCAAAAACTGGGAACCCTATCTAAACTTCTATTTTAAACGATTTGCAACAGGGTTCCTCATTCTTAGGAACCCGGTGCGGGTTCCCGTTCCTGGGAACCCGGAACTCGATACAGGTTCTCGTTCTTGGGAACCCGGGGAGACTTCTCTCAAAACGGAAGAAAAAGTATGTCTATGAACTCTAGTGTGCTCAAAAATGCACAGAAATGAATTTTTAACCGGGTTCCCGTTCCTAGGAACCCGGAACCCGTTACGGGTTCTCGTTCCCAGGAACCCGGGAACTCGGAGTGATTTGCTCAAAACGAAAGAAAAAGCATGTCTATGAACTTCAGCGCGTTCAAAAATGCATAGAAATGAATAATCAAGCGGGTTCCGGTTCCTTAGGAACAGAACTCCAAAGAACGGGAACCCTGACACCCCTAGGTCAAACAATATGTATGGAACCATTTAAACGATTTCCTCAACTTGCTCATTTCATGTTACGTGATTGTGGTCGAGTCGTTGTCCTTGGCAAAGTTCTTAAAATAATCGAATAAAACGTTTTTTGTTATTTCATATTCATTTTCTCTTTAAAAAAACCTATGAATAAGACTGTTGTTATTTTTCTAACTTTGAAAAGAACATAAATAAAAAAAGTCGTTTATTAATTCCAAGAATAAAATTTCCTTTTGCATTTCGATTTAAATCAACAAGCATTAATTTAATTGATGAATTTAATACAGTAAAAAGAAAAGCTTTAATAAATATGTTAAATGAATAATAAATAAACAAGTTTTTTTCAATTAAAACGTTTATATTGAACCTCATGTAATATCAAAACTATCACCGACGCTATTTTATACGATGTGTCGCATGAATAACGAGTAAACAAATATTTCAATCATTAATCATACAAGTGCATTTCTTCCTTATTCTTGTGATATATGCTATATAATTTTTTAGAGTTTCTGCAAATAGAGCTCACCGCATTCTAACAAAAATGCTGTAGTGATGGATAGATGAATTTAGATCGTCTGATTAAAAGACCAATCTCCAAATGAAACCAAACTATTCAGAAACATCGATAAAATACGACTTACAATCATCTGTGGTTCGAGAGTAGCGGGTCCAACTTTTTATGGACTCGGACCCGGGCCCGGGTGATATCAAATTTCTAGACCCGGGCCCAGACCCAGACCCGGACCCGGGTGATATCAAATTTCTAGACCCGGACCCAGACCCAGACCCGGGTGATATCAAATTTCTAGACCCGGACCCAGACCCAGACCCGAGTGATATCAAATTTCTAGACCCGGACCCGGGTGATATCGAATTTCCAGGCCCAGACCCGGACCCGGACCCGGACCCGATTCTGACATATTCGGACCCGGGCGTTCCGACTGTGGTATGTGTAAATCGAACTCTGTTCGTAAAGAGAAGATGCTCACTAGCATCTATATTTCTGAGCCGTCTTGGTTTAGAACATCATTTTTTGTACGTATAATTTTTGTGTATGAATGCTTTTGTATGCCAATTAATTATCTCCATTTAATGTTCGATTCTATTTTACTATCATAATTATATGGTTTGTTCAAAATCAAAAACAGCTGATGACATTCATAGTAACAATTATGTCAGATGAACTCTTTAAATTACAGTTAATTAAGAATTTAAAAAAAGCACTACTATATTTTAGCGCACTCTACGAACTTCAGCTCATTAAGCGGAAATAGTGAAACTCAACATCTAGTGAACTCTATAAATTTCAGTAATTACAAAGGAAAGAAGCACTATTGTAATTTAGCGCACTCTACAAATTGCAAATCATTAAATTGAAATAATGAAAATTAATCTTTAGCGAACTCTATAAATTTCAAACAAGTTTAAAAATATAATTGAAATTTTAATTTGTTTTAAAATTGATATCAATTTTTTTAAATTTATAAACCGAAAATTTCAGGCTTAATATTAATTTAAATTTGAATAAATTAAATTTAAAAAATAACTGAAATTGAATTTAACAGATTTTTAATTTCGATTTTATGTTCACAAATGAGAGGATGCGACATCCACACCCACCCACATCCTCACGTTAGCTGGAACAGAATGAATTATTCTGACAAATTTCGGTCCACTAGCCTATTAAAGACATGAGGTTCATCCAAAAATAGTTTCATAATATCTCAATGATTACAAACAGATCGCCATAATGTTCGCTAATGGAAACCCAAATGAGAGAAAACATCATATAGATTGTGTTTGATTCAGGTCATACACAATTAGGATCATGGTGACAATAGTATTTCTCTTTTCTGATGTTGTATTATGGATGCTACTCAGCTATTCGTATTATTATATTAGGCAAGCAATATGCAATGAGTTCATGTCTTGAGAATTAGAATAAAGTTGTCTGCATTCACTTTTTCATTCTTTGGAATTATTCAATGATTGTAGCATTTCGGAATAAAATGATGATGGGTCGTAATCAGCATGTCATTTATTGATTCTGTTCTTTTATTACTCTTCGGTTTGAACTTAATTGAAAAAGCTACAAATCAAGCGAGCAAGGATAATTTGGAAGTAAAAAAA